ATTTTATTAAATGTGGTGCAAGAAATGTCTTTTTTTTTTATTTTAGGAATTAATTTGAGTTGAAAATTTTCTTGAATATCTACTAATTCATCTAAGTGTGCACATTCGACAACAGCTGTTGATAAGTTATGCATATCAACAAATGTTTTGGGCAATTCAATGACTTTATTATTTAATAAAGTAGACTTTAAGTTTTTTAGTAAGTGTGGAGCATCAGCAATAAAAAAAAGTGTTTGATTACTGTTAACAGGATGAGGTATGTAATGTCTGACTTCGGATCTGTTGCTGCCAATAGCACCAAATGCTCTCCACATACTTAAATTAACAGGACCCATATCAGAAGTTACGCTATGAACGTATAGACCAATAGATTCTGCTTTTTCAATAATCTCTTGTATAACAGGTTTCAAAATAGCACCATCAATACTATCTGGTGTAAGGAAATAAGCTATAACCATTTTCCAACGTGTAAAAATTCCTCCAAGCATAAAAACTAAACTGTGAGTAGCTTCTTTAATTTGGCCTAGAACATATTCATAAAAAAGAGAACCAGACAAAGAAATTATTATAAACCAAGAAAAGAAACAATTTTATTGCATATCCTGATGTATAGTAACAACAGTTTATGCTCACATTTTGCAATGTATCTTGGAACTTTATACTAAATGCAATAGGAGAGTATATCTGTTAAAAAAATTTTTAACTATATGTATATTAGATGATGTTCCATAATACATTACAAAACATGCACAAATAAACATTTTTTCTGTTCCACAAAAAATAATCCTATAGAAAAATTGAACAATCTGTTTAGTTAGCTAAATAACATTATTCTTATTAATGTAAATAAATTCTTATATTATAGTGATTTATTATTATCCGTATCACTTATAAATATTCGGTATTTATTAGACAATGATATTTTTGTAAAAAAAATATTTAATTATGCAAAAGTAATTATACTAAATGTAATAAAAAATTGTATTATATATACAAATATTAGTATTAAAAATATAAATTACAAATGTATTAGAAATTATTAACCTGATCTATCTGGCAACGTCGATAAACCAAAATGTGAATTTGTTGCTATATCAACTTGTTGTCCTGCAGTAATGCTCATCTCGTCAATAGCGAGCATGCAATCTTTCTCTCAATCATCAGTAAAATTTAAAATGTGGTTACGTAATATGTCAAACGTTTGATTACAAATACCGGGTTCAAAGTCTATGTTCTCAATTTTTCTTCGAAGAGTACGCTCTGCTGGTAAAGGAATATCCTGATTCCGTAATTCTTTATAACCATTATTACCGCAAGATAATCTTAAGCGAATAGCTTTTTTGATAGTAGCTGAACACCATTTTTTACCGCGCATGGATTTCTTGCAGAGAGCTGCAACTTGGTCGTCGTTAAATATTCTTTTGTATCTAGCCTTTAAATTACTATTCTCTTCTAATAATTTTCTTCTTTCATACATAAGTTTTTTTATTCTTTTTTTCATTATTATCCGCGACTTTTCTGATTTACTTAGTATCATATTTGCTTGCTGAAATTTTGTTTCCACTTGTCGTAATTTGGCCTGTGTAGCATCTAATAATGCTTTTTGAACTTTTAATTCTGCTTCTTCAAAGTTTTTCTCAGAATTACCAATTTGAAATGGCACACATATCATTGAGTCTGAAATTGGCGTTGACACTGGCGATGTATTAATTGGCTCTATTTCTGTATTATTTATAGCTGCTTCTGTTTCCTTAAATACGTCTTCCTCTATCAAATCATCAGACAAACATTTTTCATTGTCCACTTTATTATTTTCCGTAATATCAATTTCAGTCTGAAATATATAAACAATCTTATTGTAAACTAATGGTCCGTCTACAATGAGTCATATAGGTATAAATCGTAAGGTCGTACAGCAAATCGACAAACGACAATCGAGAATGTATAAGAAAATTTGATTGTGGTTGATCGATTTGCTTACGATCTTAAGACTACGACTCATTGTAGACGAGGCTTAAATCTAAGGACACAACTTACAACCACGCATATTTTTAAGTGTTATTGCATACTATATTTCACTTACATTTGATGTAGCAGAAACAATTTCTTTCTGCATAAAAATAGTTGGAACTGCACAACTTTTCAGCTTTTTTTTGCTATCAACACGTACTTTTTCCCACATTTCGGGTAAAAAATGTTCCTATTAAATATAATAAACATAAGTAATGTAATTGCAAAATGTAAATAACTTGAATTACAGAAAAATGCATTTTACCTCACATACAAAACAGTCTTTTAATGCAT